GTGCAAAGTAATCTTAGTGGGCATTATTGAGGGGTGTTACGGAGATTATCACAAAGAGTTGGGTTAATTTTTATATTATAAAGTCACATTATTTTTCTAGTTATTTATTATACATATATACATTAGTTCTCGTATATATATATATTAGTACGTAAGTAAGATCCGGAAAATAATTCTCGATACTTTATAGTGTGTAGTCAACCTTATTACTACGTAGTCAGCCTTATTACTACGTCTGGTTGACTGTATTTCTACATGTTTATGTTAATAAAATGGTAGATTGTGCAAGTGTGATACCTTTTTGAAATGGGCATTAAATATACTATTTACATATCAATTGTTATTATTGTATTGTTTAGTATGTAGAACAAAAAAAAAACAGAAGATTTAATTGACTCCACTGAGAGCATGGGACCTGTTTCAGAAATGTTCATATTTCTCAGTGATGGTGAATGCTATCACTATGATTTTTGTTTTTTTTTAAAGAATATAAGATTACTTATTAAGTGTTGCTTATATTTTATGACTATAATGATATTTGTGTATTATATGACTTGTTAAGTTTGATATAAATTACGCCAGGCGGCGCCATGTAATGGTATGCCATCAAAGGCCTGTAATTGAATAAATATGTAGACAAGTCAACTTTTTTTATTTCTTATCCTGTTATACATTATATAAGTAACGTAATCAAAGATTAAAAACCATATGTCATCGCTTTACATTTTGAGATATGAGCTCTTGAATACAAGACGAGCTTTAAAACGCGCTATCTCAATTTCAACACAACATAACTCGACACCAGAGTCGTAACCTCATAAATAAAAGATAGCATTGTATAGCTAGTTTCATAGTAAACATAAAAAATATAACACTTGACAACCTTTCAAAACAAACTTAGTCGCAAGGACCGATTGTTTGTAATACGACCCGCTCGCCGGTAACGTAAAAAACAGATGGGCAATTGAGGCGCGCTCCGCTCAAGTGGCCCGAACAATCGGAGGTCGCGCGTAATTTACGAGCTGTGAAGCGAGCGGCTAAGGAACTGTTTTCGTTCTGAGTAAAATGTTTCATAAACTCTGTACTGTTTGAAGACCATTTTTGAAGATTAAAACCTCCTCTTTTCAATATGCTTGCTACCTGGGTCGCTATATCTATAGTTTCTAAAGCAGAATCATTGCCAGACAGCAAATCGTCCATAAAGAAATCTTCTTTAATAGTTTTAGCAGCTAGGGGATACTTGCCACCCCCATCTTCAGCCACTTGTCTCAGAGTCTTGACAGCAAGATAAGGAGCAGCAGCCGTGCCAAATGTGACTCGGCCGTTTTCTTCTCTTCTAAACAGAATTCTTTGATAATCAGCATCTTCCTTTGAGACTAGAATCTGACGGAACATCTTTTCGATGTCAACCACATATGCTACTCTTTTTAGCCGCCATCTCATGACCAAAGATCGTATATCGTCTTGTAGTGTGGGTCCAACTAACATGTCTTTGTTGAGTGAAACGTTGTTAGTATCTAAAGCGGACGCATCAAATACCACTCGGACCTTTGTCGTCTCGCTCGATTCTTTAATCACAGCATGGTGTGGTAAATAAACACTTGGATTGTTTATTTCATTTACAGGTACCTCTTCCAAATTTTTAAGATCAATATATTCTTCTATCACCTTTCTGTATTCTGTTTTTAATTTGTTGTTTCTTTCAAAACGTTTTTCTAATTGTAATAATCTTTGCATTGCTATTTGTCGTGTGTTTCCATTCAGAATGTCGGGATTTTCAGTCTTAAAGGGCAGCTTCACTATATATCTACCATCTTCATTTCTTCTATGTGTTTCTTTAGAAATTGTTTCGCATTTTTCTTCTTCTTGAGTCAACCTTTTTTTGTCTTCTGTTTCTAACTCCCACAAGGTTTGCAAGAGATGATCGATATTGAATTGATGATGCATGACTACGATTGCTTCTGAATTATCTGCCTGAACGTTGCCGAAAAGGATCCAACCTAAGCTTGTCTTCTGTGCACACGGAGAGCCAGGTGGCCCCTTGATTACCTCATTCTTCAAAATTTGTGCGTATACTTCGACACCTAGCAGCATGTCTACTCTCCCTGACTGATGGAATTTCGGATCAGCCAGAGAGAGGCCTTCTAAGTGCGGCCAGTGTGTTGGTGAACATGTGATGGATTTCGTTGGCAGATGTGTTGTGAGTCGCGTACTCATGACGTATGCTGTAATCTGAAGCTTGAACTGGTTGTCGTATCTTGACAGGAGCTCCAGTTTTACCTCTTGTGTCACTGATGTGTCGAACCTACGCCAGTGATAGTCCCTTTTACAGGTGTTCCCTTGAGATGTAATAATTGGGTTGCTCGTTCACTTATAAAATTGGCCTGGGAGCCTTGATCTATTAACGCGCGTAACATCGTAACGTGACCTCTTTCATCTTTAACAGGCAGAAGAGCTGTAGCGAGTAAAGCGGTGGTCCGCTTAGTCGCCAGATGCGATGTTAGTAGAACTTCTGCTGGTTGATCATCTAATTTAAATGTTGATTCTTGATTGTCTTCAACGTCTGTATAGTGAGCTTGAAGACTGTCTGACGGTTTGTCGTTCTTAGGTTGGTGTAATAAGGTGTGATGCCGTCGCTTACATAACCTACATGACACCTGCAGACGACACTTCACGGCAGAGTGCCCTGGGATCGGACAGTTGTAACAGAGATTTTCTTTCTTACGAAGTTAGTTCTTTCTTCTAATGGTAACTTCGTGAATTGTTTGCAGTGACAAAGTGTATGTTCTTCTTTACACATTATACAATAATTAACTCGCGAATTAGTTCTCTTTAACTACCTTGTTCTCCCTTGTATATGATGTAGTGGGCGTAGTCATTTCCAACGCACGAAACGTACTCTCCAGAAAGTTCTTTAATTCTGCCCAAGTAGGTAGTACATCCGAATCATAGTTACAAATGTCATCCTCCCATGCTTTATGAGTTTCCAGGTCCAGCCTTTGTACGGTAAGGTAAACAATCATAGCATTCGATGACTCATCTAACACCTGCAAGTTCTGGAGGCAATTTAAGCATTCCGTGGTCGTGTCCAAAAGAGCTTTAATCTGGTTAGCTGTCTGCGTTTGTGCTTTTCGTTGACTAAATAAACGTTTAAATAATTAATTGACTATCGCCCTTTTATTGCCGTAACGTTGTTTGAGAATGTTCAAGGCTTGTTCATAATTATTCTCCGTTACCTTTATATGTTTTAGCAAGGCTTCAGCTTCCCCGGTGAGGCTCAGCTTCAAATAATGTAGCTTTGCTCAATGTAGTGTTGGAATCCACCAGCGAACAAAATAAATCAGAAAATGTAGGTCATTGTTCATAATTACCAGCGAACGTCGGAAGTTGTATTATAGGTAATTTCACCTGAGGTAGATGTACATTCGATATATCACTTGTGTCCATCTGGTTAGATTTAGTCGCGTCCAAACTATCACTTAAATCGGCAACTAAACAAAGATATACCTCTTCCACGATGTAATCTCCATTAGAAAAATATTGTATATCCATTCGCTGTTGTTTTGGTGTGCACCTTACTAATTCTTGGTGCGCAGTTTTAAAAGATTGCCAATATTCCTCAATACACTTTAACCGTCCTCCGATATACCCCTTTGTCAGCCGCTGTTTAGGACATTTCTTCAGGTTTACTTGCGCTTTTTTCAACAAAGAAGCATTTTCTTCAAGTAAACAGAGTAATTGTTCACTCGTAGTACTCATTTTTACGCTAATAATGTAATCGTAACACGCGTAAATACCACACCTTTTCTTATAATATTTTATTCAAAGTTGTTTACGCAAAAATATGAGTTCTAATTCTCGGAATCGGGCGTTGGAATGCAGTACTTTTGTTCTCAGTGGCCGACCTGTGTTATCTTCTATTGCTCGCAATCCGGCTTCGTTTGGACCATATGTTGGGGTATTAAAGTTCATTTTTGCTTGACTATAGGATTACTTCAACTAAAATACGTATTGTCACTGCAAATGTTTATTGTAGACTGATGGATCAACGTTTAAACCTTTCTCACATAGGTTTATACAAACATATATAATCAAACACTACCTTTAGTTTCTTTGTGGAATGTGTGAGTATTGGTAAGAATAGTGTGATAAGTAGCAGACATAATTGATAGGTACTTAAAATAGAAAAAAAATATTTAAAGTTACTACTGGACCAAGCGAACTAGACGACTGTCAAACGTGACGTCATTGACTTCGGGTAAGGTTAGCTTAGTTTGGGATTAGATTAGGGTGCTACGCTAGAAAACCTCCCCGTGGTGCACCCTGGAAACGCTGGCGATGGCACTGTTTTCTCCTTGTTCACTTGGAGGAGAGGATTATCGCCAGCGGCTAATATTCTAGCAGAAGAGGAAGCCGTTTATCGGCTCTCGGGCAAGGCCTGGTCCAGCAGGATGGGCGTGTCTGCCGGTTGCCCTGCTGGCTCTTCGCTCTTCGGAGCATGGAGGAGGAAACCTCGGTAAAAAACCAGAAGGTGGGGCTCTGTAGGGGCCAGCTTCTCCGCTGATAGCGGTGGAGAAAGGAGGACGGGCTCGGCGTGTACTGACACTACCACCGAGCAGGCAGGGGGACGTAGTCTCCCTGTCACCGTCGGCATATCGTAATCCCGAGAAGAGCGCTGTGGTCAAGTCTCGCAGCTCTGATCGGGGGCGAGGGTCTCGGCTTAACCGCCCGGACCGCGAGGAAGAAAACCTCTCTAAAAAATTCCCCGAATCCCGTGTTCTGGTGCGTGGCCAGGGGATGCATGGCTGATGGGTAGTTCAGTCGTAAGCGCACTCACACACTAAATTTACGCTTGCCCGGGTATTGGGGGATCTCTGCCCGGGTAGACCTTTAGTTCTCCCCCACTCGTGGGTTTAATTATGGCTAATGAAGAAAAAACCAATAAAGGATCGAAACCAAAAACAACAACTACAAAGGCGAGCAAAATGGCACAGGAAACGGTGGGATGCAAGGAGAAGGAGGAGTCGAAGAGGAGGAGTGGTGGAGTGGATTCGGCGTCCACTGAAGGCGAGGTGGTGTCGAGAACACCTATCTCGGTAGGGCTTCCCTTCGCGGCACCGTGCGACTAACGTGTGACTTCATGTGCTAACAATTTAAATATTGTTTTCTGTTTTTCTGCGACTAGTTTCCGGCTTGCGGGCGGCTAAAGGTTGTGTATAGTGTTTTAAAGAAAGTCAGTAAGTTTTTATTGTTTTTAAACAGTAATATAGTGCTGAATTATTTTATTACGACTATTGGTGAGTAAATTTATTTTCTTTCTAAAAGTGGGTAGGAGATATCCTTTGTTTATATTGATTTTTCACCTAACTAGATTATTTTTAAACCTGTTCCTTTTGAAATTGTTGTTTGGTGTGTCTTTGTTTGGCTATGTCGGTCGTTGGCGAGTTGCCGGACCCCGGCGGTACAAGTGAATTTCTAACACCAACCGGGAAAAGGTCATTTATCGAAATGTCACCTACGGATTTCTCGCCGAAAGACAGTAGCCGTAGGCGCGTTATTAATTCGGACTTAAGTGGAAATGTTTCGTCTCCTACCGGTCGTGATAACTGTGGGGAGTACAACTACTGTGACTTAGTATCACAGGCCACTGATTATTTAGCAAAAATAAATGAATTAGTTAATGATCAGGGATCTCGGATGAATGTAGGCAATAAAACGGCGATTATGGATATTACTCAACGAATTACCGGTATCGTATCTTTGTTAGCAATAAAATCCTCTAGCAACGAAACGAAGTTAGCGAATTTTGAGCGACAAATGGAGGGTATCGCCACTCAAAAAACGAGTTTAACGTACGCGGACAAACTTAAGCTTCGATTACCACCTAAATCTGCTCCGTGCCCGGTACCTACTGAAGCGCGCGTTCCTAGGCCTTGTGTTATTGCCTATCCCACTACGGAACGCTTAGCGGACTATGCGACCTCGTCAGCAACAAAACAAGCTCTCATGAAGGCTATTAAACCGAGCGATGAGGGATTTCAAATTGTAGGCGTTAAAAAAACCTCTAAGGCAGGCGTCGTGTTACGTGTAGCTAACGAACGGCAGCTTAAGAAACTGGAATCTGTGGACGCCATTAAATCAGTAGGGTTGCGCTTAGAAAAACCGAAAGGCCGTAGGCCCCGTATAATTGTATAAGACGTACCCGGTTCTATGGAAGATCGTGCCTTCCTAACAGCCTTATACCGTCAGAATATCAAGGACGAATTAAAATTAAGTGAGAACGATTTTATTAAGTCAACCAAAATTGTTAGGCATCGTAAACTAGAAAATGGGCGTCAATGGATAGGCTTAGAATTAGAGGCAGCAGTTCGGAAACATCTAGCCAACACAAAAGATAAACTTTATATAGACTGGGCCACATGTAGATTCATAGACGATATAGAAGTAGTTCGTTGCTTAAATTGTCAGCAATTCGGTCATGTACAAAAGTTTTGCACCATAAAAGCCCCTACTTGTGCTAATTGCGCCGCCGCACACGAAACGCGAGCTTGTCCAGATAAAGACACACCAGATTTTAAGCCCACGTGCGCACAGTGTAAGCGGTTCAAAAAACCATCTGACCATCGATGCGGCTCATACGACTGTGCCACATACAAATTAAAACTGGAACAGCTAATATTAAATACCAATTACTGAATAGTTTAACTTAGTTTAAAAAAAAAAAAAAAAAAAAAAGTTAAAAGAGTAACTTACTAAGTAATGAATAATATTTCGATAGGCCAGTTAAATCTTCATAACGATAAAATAGCTACATCAGAATTAGACCGTTTAATTTTAGAACAAAAGTTAGACATTGTCCTTATACAAGAACAATATCAGAGCGCTCGCTTGCGTTGTAATGTAGTACAGCTTGACTGCCGTTCGCAGGCTGGGATATATGTTGCAAGTTCTAATTTTACGGTAACATCTTTGCGTAATCTTATGACGTCACACTGCGCCGTTGCTGAGATCTCATCCTCTACCTGTAAGGTTTACGTAGTGAGCTGCTATTTTCAATATTCACATCCTATTGATCCTCACTTACATCCCTTACGTTACGTCTTGCAGTTCCTCGTGGGACATAAAATTATCATTGGCGCTGATGTCAATGCGTCATCTTCATTATGGTATGGCAAGTTGCGTTCAACCGACACGGTTCGACGTTGTGCGGTTGAAGATTTCATTGCGGAAATGAATCTTATTATTCACAATACCCCCGATGCACCACCAACTTTTTGCAACCCAATGGGTGAGTCTTCTATTGACGTCACGCTTACGCGCGGCGACGTCTCGATATCCGGATGGCGTGTCCTTCCGGACGCATCCTGTAGTGATCACCGCTTGATCGTGTACGAATTCATACCAAGGGTTGCACAGGATCCACAAAGGGCTCCCTATAATTTTAGATATAAAACTAAAGGTGCGAACTGGGCTTTGTTTGGTTCACTCTTTGCAACTCATACCAAAGACTTCAGTCGCAGTAGTTTATCAGCTGAGGAAAGAGCAGAAATACTATCAGAAACTTTTACATACTGCGCTGATGTAACTATTGGTCGCGGATCTATCACTAACACTCGTAGATGTGATTGGTGGAATGATAGATTAGCCGAACTACGTAGAAGCTACCGGAAAGCTCGTAGAAAATTAAACACTATTAAAAAACATAACGTAACAGGAGATTTGTAGAACAATGCTCTCATTGCTCTTAGAGTTGCCAGGTCCCACTACAGAGCTGCTGTGGGAAAATCCAAGGGAAACTTAATTCAGAAACTTGTTGATAAACTCGATAGAGAGGGCCCGTGGTCACCTTTGTATCACGAATTTAAGGCAAATAGATCAATCGACCTTGCATACATACAGAACATCAAAATGAATAACAGATATACCACAGGAGTAGAACAAACAGCAGAATATCTTTTAGACTCACTCGTACCTGACGATCGACCGGTAAACGACACTGATCGTCACCGACAGATCAGGCAGTGGGCCATCGAACCACCACTGTCTCCAATGTCTGATTTACCATCTTCAGACGAATTTCTCGGTATCATTAGATCCTTGCCGCTAAACAAGGCTTCGGGCGATGATAAAATATCTAACAAAATGATAAAAGAAGCTTGTAAACTTTCGGGTGACACGATTTTCACTGTCTTTAAACGTTGCATTGCTGAAGGAATATTTCCTCGTATATGGCGGTGCGGTAATATTCGTATAATACCAAAAAGTGGCGACAAGCCACCGGATGGTCCTAAATCCTACCGACCAATTACATTATTACCATCGTTAGGAAAGCTTTTAGAACGTCTTGTAGTGCCCCGGCTTCTGCCAGGTGGAGTCAAATTTCATGATAGACAATTTGGATTTACGTTGGGTAAATCGACAACTGACGCTGTTATATCGGTTAGAAAGTTTGTCACAGAGTCAAAATTTCAATACGTGCTGGCTATTTTCTTGGATATATCTGGCGCCTTCGACAACGCATGGTGGCCCATGCTGTTGCTGAAATTATAATCACGGGGGTGCTTTAAAAATATTTATTCCCTTATCTCTTCGTACTTTTCACAAGGTACAACTAAACTAAGACTTGGTCATCATTCTGTGTCGAAGGCGCTTACAATGGGATGTCCTCAGGGATCGGTGCTAGGTCCATACTTGTGGAATATCGGCTTCGACGATTTTCTTGCGATACCAATACCATCCGGATGTACTCTGAACGCGTA